CTGAATTTCCATAATACGCAAATTTTTTTGTCTTTGTGAACGTGAACATATTCGCCTAACACGCAAACCTCTCTTTGCTCTTCCAAGATCGAGTTCTTGATCCTTAATCAAATTGATCATTTTCTCTGAAAAAAATACAAGTAAAAGATTATAAAATAATATTGTACTACTTGATAAAATAACAGATAACAAATAATTATAAAAAGTAATTACCTAAAAATATCCATAAATTCGGATGTTTTGTACCAAATTTTTTAGACGCCATATTATGAAAAGATTCAACTATGTTGTTAGTCCTCGCAGGACACTTGTAAACACTAACTTTCGAAGCTGCAGGAAGCCAATTGCGACGTAAATACGCTAGAAATAAATGTATATCTGGGTATTCTATTACGCTATCTGCTTGTTTCTCTATTATTTTATAACCTTCTAAAAAATATTCAGGTGGGGCTAAAGGTAAAGTCATTGTCATGGACAAAACATCACGAGGTGCATTTAAAAGATCTAGACTTTTCCATTTTCGGAAAAGTGCCTGCAAAATAACATTAAAGTTATAAAAAAAACTTCGATTATTATATTAAAAGAAGGTATATACTATATTAAATTCAAAATTTTTCTTCAGTCAATAATTTGATTTCTTATCTTTTATTCTTTTTTTTAATAAAATCTATGCAATAAAATAAATTCCCATCATACAGACTTCCGTCTACAGATATTTTTTACTAAATAATACAAGTTGTACCTGATTATAATGGAACCAACATCCATGAATTGAAGCGGATGGGAAATGATCACTAACTGATGCACCTGCAGCATGTTCATAATCTAACATTATAAATTGAATATTCTTTTCAAGATCAGGAACTAAGTTCTTAATTTTTATCCACACAGCATCATAAAGAGATTTAGTTCGTGTTTCAAACAGTATAAAAACTGTTGCAATTGCCTGAAATATTAAGTTTGGTCATTCAAAGAAGAACAATTTTTATAATGTAATTACTATTAAAGCTTACTGTTTGAAAACAACGTATATGTATTGTATAGAGTTGTGCTACTTTAGGAATTCTTGGAAGAACCTATAAGTAAAAAGGATATTTATATTATTGTTGAAAGTGCAAATATATATAAACAACAATACTTACAGAAAATGTGCCATCTAAAAACATTTCTGTAGAAGAAGCTAATTCTTTTAATAGCTCATCTGTACTAAATATAAGGGCTATTTCATCATTTGCTGATGTTGCTTTACCTTTATATATATTTTTTAAAGGTTCATAGGTTTCAAGCTGTGTTTGTAAACTTAAGAAACTTGTTGGTAAAGATGGTCGACGTTTTATTTTCTCACGATGAAGAGGCGATCTCATTGTATTATATGTTAATGATACTGCTGCTGCCGGATAATTTCGAGATACACGATCAAAAATATCTTTGTTGTTCATATTTTCATTTTTACACATTTCTTTCATTT